ATGTGGATTTTTTTTCTTTTGCTCCCTGTAATATCTTTCTTTCCTTCGAGTTATTTTTTTAAATCTTTCTGTCATGTTATAGGTTTTCTTAAGATGGCATGGCTGTATTCCCTCCGCGGAAGGAGGCACTGGGCTGGAGTTGGGAGGTCTGTGGACTGGGCCGCACTTTTCCACATCACCTCTGAGGGACTGGTGGGGATGGGGCTGTTTCTTTGGGAGATCTTTAAATGTCAGTATCTAGGGTCATTTTTCTGAGTGATTGTTGCCCCAGAGAGGCATTCTCTAGTCTTTTCCTGTGAAGGTGTAAGTCTGGCTACAGCATTCTGGCATCCAAATGGGGAAGGAGCTTGGCGGTTATCTCAGCCTTCCTCATGTAGACTTTTCTCTGTAGGTCCCTCTGCCTCAGGCCTTCCACTGTGCCTGGTGTTCCTGGACCAGATCTCCTGGATCACCCCGAGAGTGACCCCGGCCCTCTGCCAGGCAGGGAGGTGGCCATCGCCTGGCTACATAGGGTTGGGAAGGGGATCTAGTGGGTCTTACAGACTTTCAGCCAGGCTCTTGTCCTCAGTCTTCCTGATGCACAGGCCTCCAGGGGTCCCTGGGACCCTGATTCCTGAGCCCTTCCAGTGTCCCACTTCTGGGTAGTTTCTCCCTGCAGGACTGGCTCTCAGCATTCACTGCTGTGGTAAGTCAGCTGCTACTCGATCATCTGCTTTCCAGCTTCTAGAATTTTTGCTGACATCTTCCATCTGCCATCATCACCTCTCTCTTGCCCTTTGTCCTTGTGGATTTATGCCTTGTTTATTCCTTTCCTATCATCTTAGTGGGGCTCTGGAAGGGAGTGGAAATAAATCTGTGTCTGTTCAATGAGCCATATTTTTCTAGAAGGCCATTCACTGGGGCCAGGTTCATTATGGATGTGAGAGCAAGGACTCTGGCCTCTGATAGAAGAGGGATAACTGGGTGGAGAGTGAGACTAGAAGCAGAGAAGTGTTGAGTTTGATGTTAAGACCCTGGACTCTGGGCCAGGTTTCTACCTGTGTTGGCAGACAGTTACACTAGCCTTAAGCCTCAAAGACTGGGGATAATGACGGGACTGCCTCCTGGGTTGCCCTGAGGATTCAGTGAGCACACATGTGAAGTGTGTAGCACAACACTGGCCACATGGTTAGCATTCAATGCCTGGTGACTGTTGTCACTGTTACCAAGTGATAAGTGACTAGGAGCTGAAGCAGAGAAGTGGCCCGCGCGCAGGGAAAGCTGGGTAGAAAACCATCCCAAGGGTCTGTCACCTCCCGACATAGGAGTCAAGAGTGAGAGAAGGGCTGGGAAATCAGAAGAGTAGCCGCCCCTGCAGTACCCTGAGGGCTTTTCCCAGCTGCCCCCACCCAGGGTGCCGCCCAGCCTGACTTCTGTCAGGACAGACAGATATGTCTCTGTCTTCATTCAGCTGCTGGAATGCGTGAGGGACTTGGCTTGGGGCCTGGGGTGAGGGTGGGAGGAGAGGGCGAAACCCTGAGCCAGCCAGGGCCTCCCGGAGCCTTGGCACTGAGAAGAGCTGGAAGGAGGCGGAAAGAGAGATACAGGCGCAGCAGATGGAGGGGAGCTGGGGAGGGAGGAGAAGTTCATCTCCCCAAGGGTGGTCGCACTCTCACCTCTCTATCCTGGAGGGTCAGGCAGGAGGGGATCACGAGGCCCAGGACAGGTGCGGGAGGGGGTGCTCAGACGGAGAATGTGGTACCAACCTGTCCTCTAGCCCCTCCGCCCTCTGTCTCCTTGTTGGGGGTGGGACAGAAGACAGGACAGGTCCCACCTAGATAGGATGGAGGCCAGAATGAGCAAGATTCACAGAAGGAAGGCGCCAGGTGGAGTCAGGCAGTGTTTCCAGGGCTTGAGGGTGTCTTAGAGGCACTCAGACCGCCCCCCCTTCCCCACTGGATGTGACACTCCTCGGCTCCCTGCAAGTAGATGTTTATTAGGCCACACAGACCCAGACATTGGCGAATCCCACTTGGTCTCAAACTGTGCTCAGGGGGACAGTGGTAGAGGAGGTAGTGTCCCTGTCCTCAAGACCCTCACCATCTGGGGGGCACAGACATGTGACAATTCCGGGTAATTAGCACTGTGGCAGACAGGCCTGTGGGGTTTGTAGGAACCTGGAGAAGAGGGGCAGGGACGTCACCTCTGAGAAGGAGCCGCGGAGCTGCCCTCTAAGGACTGCTGCAGCACCCTGAGGAAGAAGGGTGCTCTAGGTGGGGTGCACAGCGTGGTCCAGGGCTGGCAGTGCGGGAGCGTGGGGTGGGATGGAGAATCTTCAAGAGGTGGTGGTGGTGCTGGAGGAAAGCTTCTGGGGCCTGTGGTCATTGGCCAGTCCAAGACGTCAGCCTGAAGAACTTGAAGAGCCTTTCTAGACTGAGAGCTGCTTTCAGGGACCCTGCTGTTTCATAAGGGACCTCTCGTTTCTTGAGCTACTTGGACCTGGGGCCAGGGAGGGAAGGCCCTGTTCTCTCATGCCTTCGCAGCCAGGATTTCTGGAAGGAGAGAGGCAGGCCTTATCGTGTGTCGGGCCCTTGCCCCCACCATCTGGCGACTCCATGACTAGGCCCCCAGGGGTGGCGAGGGGAGGGGGCGCACAGGCCTCTCCCAGATGATGGGCAGCTCTTTGCAGCCCTTGAGGTGGGAGTGACACTTCCGACTGGAGCCACCCGCTGTCTGCTCTGACCCCATGTGGGGTTGCCCAGCCCACTATAATTAGAGCGAGGAGGGGCCCCGAGGGGAAGGGCTGACGTATGTCAGCAGCACGGGGAGCCTGGCAGTAAGCCGACCAGAGGAAGGAAGGGCCGGCTGCCGGCCGCCCGTGTGACTTTTCCCAAGTAGATGCTGCTATTTATACCTCTGTTGCTTGGGATCCCATAGGCTGCCTCAGCCTTTTGTAGATGAGGATGTGAAGGCCCAGAGAGGGTAAGGGATGGCCCAAGGCCACACAGCATCTGTAGCAGGGCAGGATTGGGGTTTCCAGTCAGCATCTGGGCCTGAATGTGGCTCTGATTCTGGTGGGTCCTACGAGGACCCTTCAGGCCCCCCAACCTCGCACACACATATAGGATGGCCCTGAGAGGTTGTGGTCGCCCTGGCTGCCCAGCAGCGGCCACAGAAGCTTGATTCATGGCATGTCAGCACCGGGTCCTGGCCGGAAAACTGAAGGGCTGGATGTGGCCTGGGACCTGTTGGTGTGGGGCTGAGGCACGTTGGACCCCAGTCAGAGGAGCTCCCTGGCTGGGTCTGAGTCAGAGGAGTGGGTGAAGCCCCCAGCTACATCTTGAGTTGTGTCCTGCCAGGCAAAAAGGAGGAGCCCCGGGGCCAGGCTGACCCTTCACCCCCTTCCTCCCCGTCTCAGCCGATGCTCTGCCCCCGGGTGCAGGCGCAGGGAGCCCGCAGGCTGAAGCCAGCAATCAGAAGACTCCTTTCTCCCTGCCAGACCTCAGCTGCCATGATTTAGAGCTTCTGTTTGGAGTGAAGTGTTTGAGGCGGGCTCACGATCGGATGGGAGGAGCTCTGCACCAAGGGCAGCCTAGCAAGTGGACACGTGGGCGTTGGCAGCCTGGCCTGGCATCACATCCTGACCATCACTGCCCTCCCACGTGACTCAGGGCAAGGGACGCACTGCCCTGGGCCCTGAAAGTGGAAGGAGATGGTGGTAGAGTTTTCTGCTTGAGGGGTTGTGAGCGGCAGATGGGAGAGCGCCCGCTCAGCACCCGGGGCTGGCCTGGCCTGCGGCGATCCGGGACAGACAGCTGGGTCCCACACCTGCTCATTCGCCCGACGCCCATTTTACAGGGTCCATTTCTAGCTAACACAGGTGGGCCAGGTGATTCTGGGTGGGGAGGGGCCCCCAGGGTCCTCAGCAGGCGTCTGGTCACTGAGGCTTTGTTCCCTGAAGCTCTGGTGGAGCCCGGGCCCTGCCACTAGCCAGGGGACTTGGGAGACCACATGGACCACCCACCCTGGCCTGGGCTCGCAGCTCCCAGACCTCTGCCTCTGAAATTTGGACTCCCAGATCCCAGTGGCTGACTGCCCCCAGCCTTCCCTCACGCGGGCCTACAAATTGGCCTATTCCTCGTCCTCTCTGTGGCCCGTAGTGTCTCCTCCTTCCCTCCTGGCCAGACCCCAGCATCCATCACCTCTGCCTTTCTTTCCTGTGCCTCCCTCAGTCCTAACCAGGACCCTTTGCTCATCCTGGCTCCCTGACCTGGCACCAGCCACCCTCAAGCCTCCCAGACTGGAAAACTGGGGGGTTTCTGCCTCCCTCTACCTTGCTTAGCCTGGGACCCCAAGTCCCATAGGTCCTGCCTCCCTCCTGCCACTGCCAGGGAGTCCTGGCAGGAGATGGACAGGAGTAAATAGGGGAGTGACACAGGCTGGCAGACACTGGGCTCTCTCCCAGGTTGGCGGCCGGACAGGGGGCAGCCTTCAGGCCTTGGTCCTCCCACAGATGACCCTAGGTCTCAGCCCAGGGCGGGGCTCTCAGAGGCCTGCTGTTGTATCAGCTGTGATGTGATGCTCTCCAGATCGTGGACAGAGGGGTGGAGGCTGCAGGAGCTCCGAGCAGGCTTAGTGGTCCAGGAGGCTGCAGAGGGCAGGGCCTTTCGGCTGGATCTTGGGGAAAGAGGCTTCACCAGTGGAGGAGTGGGGAGAGTGTCGTGGGTGGAAGGAATAGTTTGTGGAGAGGCCTGGCACTGGGGAGCGGGGATTAGCCAGCTGGAGTGCCCTGGAGATGGATGGGAGAGGCTGGGAGGGTCTTTCCTGCTAGCTTAGGTCAAAGAATAGGATAGGTGAGCAAGGAGGCTGGAGTTTTCCTGTAAGTTTAGGGCTTTAAGCCCCTTCCCACCTTCCCTCCACAACTGGTCTGGTGCGGCCTCCCTGATGGGTCTCTCAGGCTGCGCCCTCTGCCCCAGAGGACAGGTGGCTCCTCACTTCATACTCCTGTCTCATCTCTGCAGCCGTGGGTGGGGCCTCTGCCTGGATGACTCTCCCACCAAGGATGTCATCGACTTCCCTTCGATACCACCTGGCGTCCTCTATGACGTGGGCCACCAGTGTCGCCTCCAGTATGGGGCCTACTCTGCCTTCTGCGATGACATGGACGTGAGTGTGGGGCCTGTGTGGACACGGGGGAGGAGGGCAGCCCTCAGCAGCCTGCAGACCCCACCCAGCCTGGGCTCGGCCCGCACGTGATGCCCACGAGACATAAAGTGGCCTGTGGGAGAGGCCGAGGGTTGGGCGGCCGTAGGCCTGGGTCTGCATTCTGGGTGGACCATTTACCAACCATGGGACTTTGGGCAAGGCCCTCACCTGCTGGAGCTGGATCATAAGAGGTAAAATAAAACCTCTCCTGCGGGGTCCTGGGGAAGATCGCCCAAAGTGATGGCCATGGGCATGTCAGAGACCCTGCGGCTTCTAACCAGGGTGTTTCCAGACGGGTAGGCTGAGGCTGGGAGAGGTGTGGGTGAGCTGGGGACTGCCTGAGCCACAAACCCGAGCCTGGGGCCCCAGCCCAGGACCCCCTACACCATGTGCCGGCCCCAAGGAGGGGTTCCCAGGGGTCTCGTGGGGGTGGTGAGGGGGCAGGGCAGGTGGTGGCGCCGAGGAGGAGGTGAGGGTATGGCCCTTGCCCTCCTCCTTGCAGAATGTCTGCCACACGCTCTGGTGCTCCGTGGGGACCACCTGTCACTCCAAGCTCGATGCAGCTGTGGATGGTACCAGGTGCGGGGAGAGCAAGGTAGGGGTTCGCCAGTCCAGCTGCGGAGGGGGTGAGAGGTGAGACTCCCTGCTGTGTCCGTGCTCTGGGGTTGCTCATGCCCTTAGCAGAACCCCAGCCCTCTCTGGCCCAAGTCCCCACCTGCAGAATGGAGGCTTTGGGGCAGAGCTTGACTGGGCAATTCTCCAAAGTGCCTTCAGCTCGGAAGAGTCAGCATGTGGACTCTTATTTTATTCCTTGCTCGGCTCCACCATGGGGCCCAGGTGTTGGGCGACTGGAAGGGGGCCTCCCCCAGCCCTTAGGTCCTTCCCCTCTGGGCCTTTCCAGGCCTCCCACCCACCTTGTTCTCACTAGGGTGAGGAGCTTGGAGTGGGCTTGCTCTACCTCTGTCTGTCTCGGTAGTGGTGTCTGAATGGGGAGTGCGTTCCCATGGGCTTCCGGCCCGAGGCCGTGGACGGTGGCTGGTCTGGCTGGAGCGCCTGGTCCGTCTGCTCCCGGAGCTGTGGCGTGGGCGTGCAGAGTGCCGAGCGGCAGTGCACACAGCCTGCGTGAGTGCGGGGCCGGGGCTCCCGGGGCAGGTGGGATGGGGCGCCCTGAGCAGAGTCGGCGATTGCAGGGACACTGGCTCTGTCCCAGCCTCCCACTCGCAGAAGTATCCCCATGGGCCAAGCCTGGAGTGTCCAGAGCCACCTCGGGTCACTTCTAGGAGTGCCCCGGAGGCTGATTGAGTCACCACTGCTGACACCATTGCAGAGAGGGAAACACCAAGGCCCAGACACTGGAGGGACTCATCAGAGGCCACACAACAAAGCAGCAGCTGGTGGGAGGGAAGCAGGGAGGACAGTGGCTAAGAGCTTAGACCCTGAACCTTAGACGGATCAGGGTTCAAATTCCCTCTCCACCCCTTCTCTGGGCCTCAGTTTCCAGAGAAAGTATATGATGGGGCAGCAGCAGTGCCCATCTGGTAGAGGATTAATGCAGGTAAAGCCCTGCAGCTAGTTCGTAGTAAGCGCTCAGTAAATAGAGCCACTTAGTGGCATTTGAGGTACAAGTGGGTCCAAGATGAGACTGGGGACAGCTGGGAGAATTGGTCAGCCTGGGAGGGGTGCTGTGTGACCTGGGGTGAGTGACTTCATCTCTCTGGGCCTCAGTTTCCCCATCTAAGAGTGGTGAGGTGAAGATTCAGGGAGATGCAGAGAGGCCAGCTGTACTGTAGACTGAGGGGATGCCCGGCACCTTTGGATGAGCCCACTTCACTGGGCTGCCCCAGGGTGGGCATGGGATTCAGAGCCAGGTCCTTCTAGGGCCCCGTGCTTATACCCCACCCTGCCTCCAGGCCTCCAGGCCTGAGCTGGGTTGGGGGCAGACGAGGTGGGGTTAGGGTTCAGGCTCTATGCTGGGGGCATACCTCTCAGCTGGGCCAGGGCCAAGGGGGCTTCCTTTTGACCTGGGCTGGGGTGCTGCCACCAGGAACACATCTGCTGATACGTGGGCTGTCAGGACTCTGGGTCCCATGGGCTGGAGACTTGGAGTGGCCCCTTCAGCCAGTCATGTCTGCAGCTTGGCCCAGCCTCTGAACAACCCTCTGCAGAGGCAGCCCCAGTCCCATTTTATAGATGAGGATACTGAGGCCCAGAGGGGGCCAGAGACTTGGCCAAGGTCACACAGCAGGTTAGGGGCAGAACCCAGGCTTCCTGCTGCCACCTCCCCTGAGATGCTTTCAAACAGGGAGCCTGTGTCTGGACCAGAGTGTGGGCGACCCACAGGGAGAGCAGTGTGAACGGAGGTGGACGGCGGGAATCTCTGGGTGTTAGGGGTGCAGGAGGAGCCGCTCGCTCCGAGGGCCCACTTCTGGATCCAGGTGTGCAGTCGGCACTCACTGGCCCCCACCCCACTCTCCCCACAGGCCCAAATACAAGGGCAAATACTGCGTGGGTGAACGGAAGCGCTTTCGCCTGTGCAACCTGCAGGCCTGCCCCGCCGGCCGCCCTTCTTTCCGCCAAGTCCAGTGCAGTCACTTTGACGCTATGCTCTACAAGGGCCAGCTGCACACGTGGGTGCCCGTGGTCAATGACGGTGAGTCCTATTGCCCACAGGGACACTGAGTCCTGGAAGGGCAGAGATCCAAGGGCCAAGGTTGCCCAGTGATACAGGCACTGTCTGCCGGGGCTGCTGCTCCCTCCTGGCTCCCGTGGACAGCCTTGCACCCCCAGCCCGCCACTGATGGGTATCGTGGAGGCGGTCTTCCCGGTGGCCTCCGTGGCTCCTGCCCTGCCCTGGTTGCCCCTCACGGCTCCTCTGCTTGGGCCCCCAGTGAACCCCTGCGAGCTGCACTGCCGGCCCTCGAATGAGTACTTTGCTGAGAAGCTGCGGGACGCTGTGGTCGATGGCACCCCCTGCTACCAGGGCCAGGCCAGCCGTGACCTCTGCATCAACGGCATCTGCAAGGTGTGCCCAGCTAGGGAGAGAGTCTCCAGCACTGCCCTCCCCAACCCCCTGGCAGGTCTCCTCTGGCTTCCTCCTGCTTCCCCCTGGCCCCCCTCCCCAGGCTGTACCATTGCGCTTCCCCGCTCTGCCAGTGAAGCCCTTTGATGGTCTGCCATCGCCTCTCAGCAAAGCCTCCCCGCTCCTCCTGGGACTGGAGCCCCCGTATCATTGGGCCTCACCCCCAGGCTCTGCCTCTGCACCATGGCCTGCCCGCCATGGCTTCTGAATGCTGGCTTTCGTACCGGCCCAGCCCCGGCCCGGAAACCAGAGCTCAGGTGGTAGCTCGACCTCCTGCTGGCTGGATGACCCTCAGCAGTGGTTTCCTCTGCGATAGTAGAAAGGGGACTCTCCGTCCATGTAGCCACGTCACAGGGTTAAATGCAGTCATTTAACAGGGCAATTGCAGGGCCGTGCAGGCCTCAGGGCCTGGCAGAGAAAGCGTCAGTGTTTGCTGACAATACTTAGACTTATTTCCAGCTGTATCAGTGCCACTCCCCCTGCCCGTGTCCTCAGCACTTTCTTTCCTCTGCTCCTGGGAAGGGAAGCCCCTGGGCGTGGAGGCCTGTGCTCTGGGGAGGACCAGCAGGGAACACTGATTTCTGCTTCGGGGAAATTCCTGTCCACGCTGGTCAGGAGCGCGGGTGTGCCAGCTCCCCCTGCCTGCTGTGGCCTTTTACAAAGCTTCTCCCGTCTCTTGTCTCATGCGATCTCACAGCACACCTTCCCGGTGCAGGTGGTTCTCCCTGTTTCACATCTGAGGAAGCTGAGGCCCAGAGAGGTTGAGGGGTTTACGTGGGGTCAGAGGGCACAGCTGTGGTGGGGCCCCCGCTCCCTGCTCCGAGCTCTCTCCTCCCCACCCTGGCAGGCCCCCGAGGCTGGTGCCAGAGAGGGCTCGCCACCAGGGGCCCAGCACCAGGGGGCTCCCCTCCCCATGTGTTGCAGAATGTGGGCTGCGACTTCGAGATTGACTCGGGTGCCGTCGAGGACCGCTGCGGCGTGTGCCATGGCAACGGCTCCACCTGTCACACCGTGAGCGGGACCTTCGAGGAGGCTGAGGGCCTGGGTATGGGTGGGACCCCTGGTGGGGGGCAGGGCACTCTTGACCTGGTGACCCTTCCTTGTCTCCCTTGAGCCCTGCCCACGGCCCCCATGGCCAGAGATGGGAAGCAGGGAAGCTGCCTTGCTGGGTCTAGGATCCTGGCAGGAGTCAGGGCACCCAGGCCCAAGTGCAGAGACCTGCCTTCACAGGGAGTCCTCCTGCCCCAGGGACCCCAGCCTGGGCTTATCAGGCTTATGAGTGGCCTTATGAAGCTTTAGAGAGCCCCCAGCTCCACTCACTCGCCTCAGGGCCTGTTTTGCATCCATTGCTTAAGTGCCAACTGTGTGCTAGGTGAGGGAGACACAGAGGTGAAGAGCTTACAGTCTCACCTTTTGGTGTGACAGATGCAGTGGAGGGAGGCCCAGAGGGCTGTGAGAGCCCTGAGGAAGGAGGTCCTGACATGGAGAGGTCAGGGAAGTCTTCCTGTAGGAAGTGGAATTTAGCTGAATCATAAAAGACTCAGACGAGATGGGGAAAAGCATTACACATGGAGGAAAGAGTTTGTGCCCACCCAACAAAGCCTGGAGGCAAGAAGGAGCATGCTCTGTCTGGGGACCTATGTATAAGAAAGGCGGGGATGCCATAAGGCTTTGAATGCTAGACCGAGAAGCTTAGATTTCAGCCCCAGAGATGCAGTCCAGTGTGGTGATTAAAGCTCAGACCTCAGAGAGGTTTCACCTCCCAGCAGAACCCTGGTGCAAGTTATGTAACCTTTCTGTGCCTCAGTGCCCTCGTGTGTAAAATGGGGATAACAGTAGTGCCTACGTCACAGGGTTGTTACACCTGCAGAGTCCTCAGGGTAACGCCAGGCACGTGATGGGTACTACTTAGTGAAAGAACAGAAACAGGCTGTATAGGTATGAGCAGGATGTCCCAGGGGAAAGGCCCAGTCAATTGGGGTTTTTAGAAAGGTCATGCTGGCCCCAGGTATAGGGGATAGGCCCAGCCTTGTGACAGGGAGACCAGCTAAGGTTTCCCAGAGAAGGGTGGTGGGGCATGGGTCAGGGGGTAGGATTTGAGCCCTTCTGAGGCTTTGGTGATCTGGGACAGATCTAAGTGGGGAACCCAGAATCTTAACGATGGACTCTTTGGCATCGGCAGGCAGGGGCAAGTGGAAGGAGAGGTGAGGGCGGGCAACAGCTAACCCTCTTACCTCTTTTCACCACCTGTGCACGATCCCTGGCCAACAGGGTATGTGGACGTGGGGCTGATCCCAGCCGGTGCTCGCGAGATCCGCATCGAGGAGGTGGCCGAGGCCGCCAACTTCCTGGCCCTACGCAGCGAGGACCCGGATAAGTACTTCCTCAACGGTGGGTGGACCATCCAGTGGAACGGGGACTACCAGGTGGCGGGGACCACCTTCACATATGCGCGCACAGGCAACTGGGAGAACCTCACGTCCCCGGGTCCCACCGACGAGCCTATCTGGATCCAGGTGACCGCCTCCTGGGGCCCAGGCTGGGGAGGAGCAGAGGTGGGGTCCGTGGCGCCCAGCCGCATGGCAGGAGCGAGCCCGGCTCCGGGCCTGGCCCTACTGCTGGGGCCTCTGCCTCGGCTTCCCCAGCTCTAGAATGGCTCCATGGTGTAGCCCCAGGTCCCAGAGGTGGCTGAGGTTGGCTCCTTTAGGATGGGTGGCAGGGCTTGGCAGAGGGAGAGGACACCTCATGCTCACGGAGCCCCCCCCCCCGCCTGCCCCAGCTCCTGTTCCAGGAGAGCAACCCTGGGGTGCGCTACGAGTACCTCATCCACAGGGAGGCGGATGGCCGTAGCCAGATCCAGCCGCCCGAGTTCTCCTGGCACTATGGGCCCTGGACCAAGTGCACAGTCACCTGCGGCACAGGTGAGGAGGCAGTGGGCGCAGCTCCTGCCCAGCAGGGCCTGTGTCTCTGGGCACTGATGCCTGGCTTTAGCCTCTGGCTCATTGCTTAGTTGCTGGGCTGCTGTGAACTGGGAATGCTGCTTCTGGGCCTCAGTTCCCCCATCTTTGTAATGGGGCTAGCAATGGCCCCATCTCATAGGTCCACTGGGAGAGGAAACAAGGTGAGGCAGGCACAGCACGTGGTGCTTGGCGAGCGCTCAGCGTGTCTCCCCCAGAGAGGCACCAGCTGCCTCTCCCTCTTCTCACTGCTCAGCTCTGGCAGGTCCTGTGCCCGTGGTTCTGCCCCATACCTGGGATCTGACCCCTTCATCCTCCCAGAGCCTTACCTGCATCTCCGTCAGGACAAGCTCCTTCCTCTCCTCTAGCTCCTGCCACAGACAGGCTTCCCCGGGCCCCCCTCCTCCTCGGTGCCCTCCCACCCTTCCTGGGAGGCCCAGAGCCTGACACTCCTGGGCTGCTGGCCCAGGAGGGCTTCCCCAGTGAGAAGGGGGAGGGGGGAGGGAGAGAAGGAGGAGGGGCAGGGGAGAGAAAGAAGGAGGGGGAGGAGGATGGAGTAGGACAGGGGCAGGGAGGAGGGAGCTGGGATGTGACAAGGATCTCCCCAACCAAACTCTGAGCCTCGTAGCCCAATGGCCTATTCACCACATTTACTTATTCCTTTAAACTCTTTATAAAATGTGTAACAATTTGACTAACTCTCACCGCCCCCCGTGGCTTCTTCAGTCTCCCTTCCCCTCCCCCTCCCCCTCGGTGTCCAGGGGTCTCAGTATCAGGAATCTGGGACAGAGACATTTGAACATTCCTTGAAATGCTATTATGATGACAAATGAACACTGACCTACTAAAGCTGGGCAGGAATCTTCAAAAGCTATTAAAGGCATCCTACCCCGTATGAGTTAAATTTACAAATGTGAAAATAAATACATTTGATGAACCAGACACTGGGAAATTGTCTTTCAGCAAATCGGTGGCTTCCCACGTGGCCAGAATAGGAATGTGTTGAGTGGCAAGTGGCAGGATCCTGATGCGTGGTAGCTGGAGCAGTAAGGGGTTGCTTGGCTTCGGCAGTAAGAACCCCAGGGAGGGTGCATAGTCCACGCTGGCTGGATGGCCTGCCATGTTTTTAGGGACCACTCTCAGCCCCACCTTCCCCTCATGTCTGTCACAAGATAGCACCCTTTGCCCAGGCTTCTTGCTGGCAAGAAGAAGAAGGGGCAAAGGGCTGACTCTCGGGAAGGACTTGTGTCTTTTTCTCCCTTCACGACTGTGTCCCAGACCCCCTAGCTGCACGGGAACTACAGTGGGGAGTGTTTTCAGCAGGTCCCATTGTTACCTTGAACAAACCCTGCGTTCTATTAGGAAGGAAGGAGGCGGGTGGAGGGGAGACTGGAGGCTCAGGGCAGGGGTGAGTCCCCCTTCTGTGCCACAGGGGGAGCAGGGTGAAGGCAGAGCCCGTTGGAGTTGGTCCTGCCGCTGGGCCTCAGTGGGCGGTGTGGGGTGCGTGTGGAAAGGGAAGAGCAGGGCTCTGCAAGGGTGCAGAGAGCGGCAATGGCAGGGAGAGTGAAGGACAGGAGCCGCGACAAAGCGAGTGCCGGGGCAGGGGGTGGGGAGTGCTGTGAGCTGGAGAGGAATGCCTGACTGGGAGGTCTGACTGATTTCTCCTCCAGAATTTCTGGGCACTGATCCTGTTGGGAGGGGTGTAGACACTGGAGGTGGTGCTAGGCCGTGGTTGGATTTGGCACTGGTTGCACTCTTACCACGCGCCAGGCATGGGCTGAGCCTGCACGTCCGTGAGCACGTTATCCTCACACCTGGCCTTCAAGGCAGGTGTTATCGTTACTCCCACTAACAGATGAAGACAGTGAGGTTCAGAGGGGCCAAGTGAGCTGCCCAGGCCTCCCAGCTAGGAAGCTGTGGGGCTAGAGCCCCCGCCCACTGAACCTGCACACTCTGCTGCCTCCCTAGGGGTGGGGGTGACGGCCAGGAGGACAGTGAGGTGGGGGCAGTGGGGGCCTGCCTTCAACCTGACAGGCAGTGAGGCCCTGTTCTGGAAGGGATCTGAGCAGAGTGGGGTAGAGCTGTGTCTCTGGGTGCAGCGTGGCTCAGGCAGGGGGCGCCCTGAGTGCCAGGCCCAGGCTGAGCCCCCATGGCCTCCCAGGGATGCAGAGGCAGAGCGTGCGCTGCATGGAGCGGCAGGCGGGGCCCGTGGACGAGAGGCACTGTGAGCCCCTGGGCCGGCCCGATGACCGTCAGAGGAAGTGCAGCGAGGAGCCCTGCCCCGCCCGGTGAGCCCACCAGGCGCCTGACTCCCAGTGTCCCTCATCAGGGCGCCCCTGGGAGGAGCAGAGGGAGCTGGGCTCTTAGCCTTCCTTCCCAAGGCTGAAGCCCCAGCCCCTGGTTGCCCGCGACCTCAGCCTGGGCCTGGGTTCCCCCTCAATAGCCAGCATCAGCCAGGGACATGCCTGATCGCTCGTGCTTGGGTCCTTGGATGTGAACACGGGCCTTGGGTCTTGCCCAGGTCCCCCAGGGGTGAAGGTGGCAGGAGCAAAGGGGACTGTGCCCGGTCACTGGGCTTTGGGGGCCAGGGGGCCATCCCAGGCTTGGAGCTCTGGGAACTCGTCCCCTGGGCTTAGGCCCGACCCTCCCTGAGCCCTGAGTGCCTGGGAGTCCAGGTGGCTGCACGCTGACGCTGCCCTTGTGTCCCCACAGGTGGTGGGCAGGTGAGTGGCAGCTGTGCTCCAGCTCCTGTGGGCCTGGGGGGCTCTCCCGCCGGGCCGTGCTCTGCATCCACAGCGTGGGGCTGGATGAGCAGAGCGCCCTGGGGCCACCTGCCTGTGAGCACCTGCCCCGGCCCCCTGCCGAAACCCCTTGCAACCGCGATGTGCCCTGTCCGGCCACCTGGGCTGTGGGGAACTGGTCTGAGGTGAGCAGCACGATGGGAGGGGGCCCGCCCCCAGCTCTGCCATCGGTCTTGGGCTACAGGGAGGCAGAGACAGCCTTTGGGGAGCCCTTACTGCCGGGCACCGTGGTGGAAGGGGCCTGGGGCATTCCAGGTCCAGCCCCATCCCCAAAGCCTCAGGGGCTGGGATGCCCTGGCCAGCCATGGCCACAAGTCATGGTCTCGAGCTGGTCAGGGCGAGAGAGGGCTGCCTGGGGCCCTGTACACTGACACTGAGCAGTGAGCAGGGTACCTTGCCAGGCCCCAGCTTCCCCTGGCGCTGAGCCCCTCACCCTGGCCTTCCCTTTAGTGCTCTGTGTCATGTGGCCCAGGCAGTCAGCACCGAAGCATCCTCTGCACCAACGACACTGGTGTCCCCTGCGCTGAGGACCAGCGGCCAGCAAGCGAGGCCACCTGCCTTCTGCCGCCCTGCCCGAGGGCCCTGGACGTGCTGGGCCCCGAAGGCTCAGGCAGCGGCTCCTCCAGCCGCGAGCTCTTCAACGAGGTCGACTTCATTCCTCACCGCCCAGCCCCACGCCCTCCGCCCCCCTCGTCAGCCAAGCCGGCTGGCATGGGCAATGCCATCGGGGACGAGGACCCTGAGCTGGGCCCGCCGGGGCCCATGTTCGTTGACGACTTCTACTACGACTACAATTTCATTAACTTCCACGAGAACCTGTCCTACGGGCCCTTCGAGGAGCCTGACGCAGACCTGGCAGGCACAGGGGATCGGATGCCCCCGCCCCTGAGCAGTGCTGCCGAGCCTCCTGTGGGCACCCCCATGCCCACCACAGAGCCTTCTGGGCCTGAGGATGAGGGGGCACTGGGAGGTTGGTCCCCTGCTCCTTGGCCCAGCCAGGCTGGCCGTTCCCCACCCCCACCCTCGGAGCAGAGCCCTGGGAACTCCTTGGTCAATTTCTTATTTGAGGAAGATGCCCCCGTGGGAGCCCCAGACCTTGGGCTCACCAGCTTGCCTTGGCCCCTGACTTCGGTCAGCGTGGAGACGCCTGCCGCCCCTGGGAGCCAGAACAGGCTCCTGGGAGGGGGGCACAGCCACAGCCAGCCGCCGCCTCCCTGGTGGGAGAGGACCAATGAGGTTTCCGAGGACAGCGAGGAAGCCTTGGGCCGCAGAGCGCCCCAAAGACCCAGCCCCACGCTGCCCCCCTCGTCCCCCATCAGCACCTCCCACTCCTCTCCTAGTCCCGACACAGTAGAGCTGTGGACGAGTGGCACCTTGGCCTGGGAACCAGCGCTGGAGGGTGGCCCGGGGCCTGTGGACGGTGAGCTGTGGCCCACCGTTGGGGGTGCTCCTCCCACCGCCAATCTGCCAGACACTCAGGGTACAGACAGTGCCCTGGAGCCCGGGACTGCCACCCTTCCCACCCCAGGCCTGGCTCTACAGGACCTGCAGACCCTGGCGATGCCAGGAACCTTCCTTCTGAAGGCTCCGACCAGCCTAGGGCACGCGCCTTGGGTGACTGCCCTGAGCCTGGGGCCCTTGGGCCAGCCTGAGTCCCCCAGCCCTGAGACGCCCCTAAGCCCTGTGCTGCTGTCCATACCAGCTCAGGACAGTCCGGCCAACAGCAGCCGAGCCCCTGGGCCTCTGGACCCCAGCCCAGCAGAGGAGGGGCCCCCCGTAGACCTGCTGCCCGTCAGGAATGCCAGCTGGCAAGTGGGGAACTGGAGTGAGGCAAGTGGTGCAGGGGTCGGGGTGGGCCGGGGGGGTGAGCAGGACCTCACTAACTTGGTCTCTTCCTCTGAAAATGAGCAGAGCAGGATATAAGCCTTGTCTGTCCAGCCTCCTGGGTGGGTGGGGATTAGGGAACTGACAGCCCGTGGTGAGTGGAGGCTCTGTGAGGTGGGAGGAACTTTGCCCCAACTCAGTCATACTGCCCTCCATGTGCCCCTGGGGCTGCTCTGCCCCATTGGGCCTCAGTTTCTCTTCTGAACAGTAGGGTGGGGCAAGGGGGCCTGTATCCCTAGGGTCCCCAGAGGCTCATTCCTGAGTAGCACAGGGGGCCGCTGGGAGGGCAGGGCAGGCACAGATGAGGGGCAGCCAGGGGGAACGGCCCTCTCATACTCTGGCTTGCATGCTTCCAGGGACAGGGAGCTCGCCCCAGGCAGCTGTGTCAGTGGGGAAGCCTCCTCCCATGGTCCCCAGGCCCGGCGGGGCTCAGCCTGGGTCCTCCAGGTGCTCTGCAGTTCCTGGCCACCTGGTTCTCCCCTCAGGGCTCCTGCTTTGTCGGGCCTGTGAGGGTCTGAACTGCATGGCAAGAAGCTGTCCTGTGTCCCCTACCCCACCCCAACGTCCCCAGGTTGTTACCATAGGAGAAGTGAGCTGCTTCTGTTCAGATCCCTAGTTTTGGTGTGGGAGGGACAGGTTGAGGCCCAGTGAGGAACCCAGACTTCCTTCCCAAGTGATTCCTCACACATGTCTCCTGTAGCAGGGACAGTTGGTTGCCAGGGGATTTGACTTTTCATCTTCATGGTCTCCTTGGGAGGTGGGTGGAGGAGCCCATTTTGCAGATGAGTTAACTGAGGCACTGGCGGGTCCCTCTCACCTGGCTGGGGGGCTGGAGGGTGCAGGGATCTGCCCGGCCCTCATGGGTACTGCGTCCCTGCCCCCAGTGCTCTACCACCTGCGGTCTGGGTGCCGTCTGGAGGCCCGTGCGCTGCAGCTCCGGCCGAGAGGAGGACTGCACTCCCGCAGCCCGGCCCCAGCCCGCCCGCCGCTGCCACTTGCGGCCCTGCGCTGCCTGGCACACGGGCAGCTGGAGTAAGGTGCGTGAGGGAGAAGGCGGGCAGCGTCGGGGCACGGGGTGGAACTCTGGGGCCCGTGGCCTGTGTTTGGGGTCAGCCATAGCCACCGGGGATAGGGGTGCTCTGTGCTGCACATCTTCGTACTCTAATTTCTAGCCTCTGGGATCATTCCATCTGTGTGTGGTTCAACCTGCCCCACTCCCCTTCTCTCACTGGTTGTATCCTTTTCTCTCCTTTCTGTCACCCTCGGGGTTTCACTTTCTCCTTTGTTCCACTCTTTCTCCATCTGTCCCATTCCGGGGCAGCCCCTGGCCACGCCACCCGCCGCCCAAGGCTGGTCAGCCATGGCTTCTCCCTGGGGCCCTTAAGGGACTTGCCGCGGGTGGGGGTGAGAGTGCCCAACGCTCGCCCTGCCTCAGCCCTCACCGCATCCTCGTGTGTGTGCACGTGGTGGTGGTGTATCCACACGCGGGACCCTCGGCCTCCAGTGCTCCCGCAGCTGTGGCGGGGGTTCCTCCGTGCGGGACGTGCAGTGTGTGGACACACGGGACCTCCAGCCGCTGCGGCCCTTCCACTGCCAGCCGGGGCCTGCCAAGCCACCTGCCCGCCGGCCCTGCGGGGCCCAGCCCTGCCTCAGCTGGTACATCTCTTCCTGGAGGGAGGTGAGGCCTGGGGGTCTGGGATGGGAGCGGGGGTGTCCTCAGAGCCTAGCAGCGCCCAGACCCCTTCCCCGGCCCTCCTAGTGCTCCGAGGCCTGCGGCGGTGGTGAGCAGCAGCGTCTGGTGACATGCCCAGAGCCGGGCCTCTGTGAGGAGGCGCTGAGACCCAACAGCACACGGCCTTGCAACACCCACCCTTGTACGCAGTGGGTGGTGGGGCCCTGGGGCCAGGTGAGCCAGCGCGGGGTTTCGTGTGGGGAGGACATGCAGAGGGGGCACTCATGTCAGCAGACATCCATCAGACCTTTGTTCACGCAGGGAGTTGTCGAGTGTGTCCTGTATGCCAGGCTCTCTGTGGTCCCTGCAGATACAGTGGTGGCCAGATGAGGTCCCCACCCTGCTGAGCTTACAGCCCACCAGGGAGACAGACTTAAAAAGAAAAGCGATGTGCGCTGTGATGTCAGGGAAGGCCTTCTGGGGAGGGGACTTCAGAGCGAGACTGGAGGGGTTTGTGATGTGAAGGAGAGGCATACAGGAGCAGCAAATGCAAAGTCACTCCTGGGGCAGGAGTGACAGACACAGGATGTTCAGGAGACTAAGCAAAGACCAGACTGGCGGAGGGGGTACGGGAGTGGCCAGTGAGGCCTCAGCTGGGCAGGACACTTCCTGCCAGGCCTGTTTGGGAATCTCAGTCCTTGTCCCACTGGCTGCTGAGGGACCCTGGGCAGGTTGCTTTACCTCGCCAGGCCTCTGTCTTCTCATCTGTAGAGTGGGGTTGTGAGCATTAGATGCTCCTCTCACACAGTGAGGCATTTAGCACAGGGCCTGGCACGATGTTGGCACAGATTAAATTTATTTTTACGGCTTTTTAAAAACATCAGACCCCAACTGATAAGAACAAAGCCTGACTTGGGATGGTGGGCCCTGTTTGAGAAACTTTCTCTCCCTTCCTTGCACTGCCCATGGGCTGCAGCAGGTCCTCCAGCCCCGGAGCCACTGCCCAGGCCTCTCAGGCGTGTCCCGTCCCGTGTGAGGGGCTGGCAGCTTCCCCCTCCGCTCTGCAGATGCAGTTCCTGCAAGCGAACACCTAGTGGCCTCTGGGGACAGGACCGACCCTCTGAGGAGGCTGGAGAGATGGGGCTGGGAACCATGAGCTAGGCTTCCTGGAGAAGGCAGCAGCTGCCCTGGGGACGTGCCTGGGATGCCCCCCTGCAGGGCTGGTAAGAGGATGCTCACCCCTCCCGCGCTCCCCACAGTGCTCAGCCCCCTGCGGTGGTGGCGTCCAGCGGCGCCTGGTCAAGTGCGTCAACACCCAGACTGGGCTGCCTGAGGAAGACAGCGACCAGTGTGGCCACGAGGCCTGGCCCGAGAGCTCGCGGCCATGCGGCACCCAGGACTGTGAGCTCACTGAGCCTCCGCGTGAGTGCCCCACCCGGCTGTCTGCTGGGCGGGGGGTGGGCAGCGTGGACGGTGGGGAGATGGAGAGTCATGGAACCGTCCCCCTACAGCACTGGCTGACTGACAGGGAGCCACGCAGAGGCTGGGGCTGTGTTGGGGTCAGAGCCAAGGGGAGTCCAGCCCCGCAGGCAGCTTTCTTTAGCTCAGGGGTCTCAGTTACCCCCCGTTCCCAGAGTGAGGCCAGGGATGTTCCTGAAACTGTGTGGAGCTCAGGCCTGGGTGAGCCCCCATCCCCAGCTCTGGCCCGTCCATCTCCTGGCCAGAGGAGGGCTGCCCAGAGTGAGCAGTGTAACCGCATGAAGGGGCTTCCCGCCTAGGGTCCTGCTAGCTCCCAGCAGCTGGTGGCTTCCTGGCCAGCTGGGTCCTAGAGGAAGAGCTTGTGGCAGAGGTGGCTCTGGACATAGACACACACACACGCACACATGCACACGCACGCGCACACACGCACATGCACACGCGTGCACGCACACACACATGCACACGCACACACACGCACACACACACTTCCTTCCTGCAGCCCAGCCACCTCCAGCCACCCCTAGCCACCCCCAGCTGTGCTGAGCACAGGAAACTGGCCCTGGAGTCACACCTGGCCTCCCATCACCAGCTCTATGGTCTTGGGCTCCACTTCCCTGTCTTACGCATAAAGGGGCAGACAACCCCCATCCTCATAAATGAGGTCTTGGGGTGAAGAGCCCAGGAAGTGCTCAGGGAAGGTTGGCTTCTTCCTATCCCTCGTGGACACTATCATCCCCCGTCATGAGGTCAGGAAGAACGCCTAGGCTACCTTGTCAGTCAAGAGAATGCAGCAGCTCCTATGCCTATCAGCTGTCTGACTCCTGCCCCTAGGCCAGAGCCACCCTAGGACAGAGTCCTTGGCCCTCTGGCATCCAGGGCCCCCAGGGACCTGCCGCAGTCTGCATTCTGTACCAGTGACTGGCTCCTTGGTAGCCCTTGGGCAAGCCCGGACTAGCCACTGCCATCCCTTGCTGGCCACACCACTGGGAGGGATAGGCTTCCTGCCCCAAATCCCATTACCTCAAGGCCCAGCAGAAATTCCACCCACCCCAAGCGCCCAGCCCTCAGCATTCATCCAGCAAGCACCTCCGTGCCTCCTGCACACAGCCCCAAGGTAGCTGCTGGCACCCAAGCGAGTTTAAGGGTAGAGGCCAGCCAAGGAAGTGACTTGCATGCCGAGACCCTGGAGTCCCCAGGATGTTTTGATGATCTGTGGGGCTGTGTGGCAGGACGTTTGGAAAGCCTGGAAACTTGGTCATCACGGTGAGGCAGCTGACATAGCACGGCCACATCCGTTTGCCTGTGGAGGTGGGGTTACTGGCAGTGGAGGGAACTGGGGCCCCTTGAGAAGTTAAGTAACTTGCCTGAGGTCACACAGTGGGAACAGGATGCAGGTCTGCAGATGTGCAGGTTAGAGCTGCTGCTGAGAGCCAGGGTGGAGGAGGCTGCCCGTTGCCTCATGCCTTCTGCCGGGCCCCAGGGACATCCCAGGGACAGGGCTGCCAGTTGCCTTCCTGCTTCTCCTCCCCTGGGATGTCTGCTGAAGTGAGAGGGCCAGGTGGCAGCTGGGGGCTGTCACAGGCAGCGGGAGCAAGGCCGGGAGGCTGGAAGCAAGCCACTTCCCAAAATAGCTCTGATAAGCACAGGGCAGGAGGGCCCTCCAGGCCTCAGCCCCGGGCAGGCAGCCTCCCTCTGGCCCTCCTCAAGAGGCCTGGGCTCTGCTGACGGGCTGATGGCCCAGGCCACACCTGCTCTGTCAGGGCCTCGGTGCCGGGCCCGGCTGATGGGACTGTTCTGTGTGTGACCCAGAAGCTGAAGCTGAGTACAGCCCATGGCTGCAGGGCCAGGGAGGTCTGGCAGGACAGGTGCATTTGGGCAGGGGGTGTGGGGCAGAGACCACTGTAGGCTGGCAGGAGGCACCTGGGACTTCCGTTGTGTGCCAGGTCTTGTCAGGTCTCGCAGGGTCAGGGACCGAGAGGGGTGGCAGGCTCTCTGGCTTCTCGTGAGCACCTGAGGCGGTCAGGACTGGGGTCTCGGGGCCTTTCCTCTGGAAACCTGAGCCCAGCAGGGCCAGTTCTCCAGTCCTGGAGGCGGGGGCCTAGGCCAAGGGCAGGTGGGACGGGACAACAGCAGGAGATCTGTAACTCAGGCCTAGGGGAGCCCCTCCAGAAACAGGAGGCCGATGCTCTGGGGGTGGCTGCAGGTCTCCTTAAGGCCCAGCTAAAATCTCAGGGAAGCCCCTCCACCCTGGGTGCAGGTGGGAGGAGGGCGGCGGTTCCGGTGCCCGCCTGCTGGTCCTGACCGCCCCCCCTCCAGCCCTAGGCTGCGAGCGCGATCGCCTGTCCTTCAGTTTCTGCGAGACGCTGCGCCTGCTGGGCCGCTGCCAGCTGCCCACCGTCCGCACCCAGTGCTGCCGCTCCTGTCCCCCACCCGGCCGTGGTGCCCCCTCCCGCGGCCGTCAGCGGGTCGCCCGCCGCTGACCCACACCCCGGCCCCCCGCGGCCAGGATGCACAGCCAGACCGATGCACGGACCTCAGCGCCCAGCAGGACCTCAGTGCCCAGCACGGGCTGCGGTGGAGCCCCGCCCCTCGCGCCCTAATGGTGCTAACCCGGCCCCCCGACAGTGGCAGGCTGGGGACCCTTCCCCCTCAGAAAAGGTATTTTTTTATTCTAACAGTTTGCCTAACATTTATTATTATTATTGTTATTGTTACACATAAACAGGCATCTGCCGTTTCGAAGTACAGCTTGGCTTCCTCTTGGATTAGGGGAATTTCAAGTCAGAAACTACACCTCTGCTGCGGCCGACAGCATCTTTCCATCTGCTCCTCTGGGAGGCCCACAGGGGAGAAGGGAGCAGAGCCCATGTGGGCAGGAAGGCCTGAGGGAGCAGAGCGGAGGAGGGCTTCCTAGAGGCGGTGTGCGCAGGGCTTCAGACGGCCGGGTAACAGGCGGCAGGAGCGTTTTCTGGGCACCAGGCACAGCCTGGCAGAGGCCCGGGGGTGCTGGTCCCTACTCACAATCCTTCCACACCTCCACTTCATGCCCCCTGCCCAGGCCCCCCAGCCCTTTCCCCCATGTCCCCACTCTGCGGTCTTCACCAGAGACTCGTGTTTCACAGGGATTGAGCCACACGCCCTTAGAGGAGCAAGGCCCATGTGGTCACCAGCAGGGACTGCCCCCTGGAGTGAACCCCATGGACACATCCCCGGCCCCCTCTGCTTCATCTGTTAACTCTTAACTCTTTATCTGCACCAAAGGGATGGAGGGAGGGGCAGTCTGGCCAGACACACCCTTCTCGGCCCCCACTTGTCCCTTTCTTTCATCTTCTCTGTACTCAGCGGTGGGGCTGGGCCAGTTGAGGCCAGGACGTACGGTGGCTTCTTCCTCACTGACAATCCCAGGCGCTGGGCTCTTGCTATGTTGACATGTGGTCCGGCTCCCCAGCACCTGCCACGCCAGCCCTTCCCTGCCTGCCACACTTAGTTCCATGCAGTCAGACTGTGGTGAACACACCAGGAGCAGATGCGCATGAGGTGCTCTGAAGGTGTCCCGGGCCCTGGTGAGGCGTGAGGAGGCCGGAGAAGGCTAGACACTGTCTCCAGGAAGTGACCTGTGCAGGCGCCAGCCCTTACCTCTCACCATGAGCCTTGGACTGGACCGTTTTACAATCTGCTCACAAGTCCTACTCCTGGAAGGGGTTTATCCCTTTTCTCCAAATGGGGGACCACCACTCATTCTAGTCTACGGTGTCCGCCGTTCACAGACTGTGATGTGAATGGTGGTTCTGGAGCTCTGCGTGTGGTGGCTACTCACAGCTTGGGTGTGTGTGTTGGGGGCGGAGGGGGAATGAAAATCACTCCTTGGGGACTGAGACCAAGAAACAGTACCAGAGGCTGAAGCAATCAGCACGTGTCTGTCCCAGGGCTGGCCCCTCCAAGGGTCAGAAGGGTGCTGGAGTGCCCAGCTCTCCCATTTCCCATTCTCTGATCGCACATCACACCCTATTTAATCATCAACACACTCCATGGGGCTGGAGTGAGTACCCCATTTTCAGATGAGAAGCCCAAGGCTCTGAGAGGGAGGTGACTGGCACAGGGCATATGCCCTGACTACACAGGCCTCAAGCTCCCGTCATCTCCTGCTCCGAGTTCTGGGCCACCTCTAGCAGCTGACCCCTCTGACCAGGTAGGAAGATGGCCCGAGCAGGCCCCACGGTAGCTTTGCACAGAGAGCAGTCTGGGGCTTGCGTGAGTTCAAGCGTCACCGCACTGTCTGAGAGTGGAGGGGTGTCAGGCTTGCTTCCTGTCTGTCTGCAGCAGCCCGGCTGGCCAGAGGATACCCTGGAGACCCATGGTGTGAGTAATGTCTTCCTAGGGATTTGCACTGTCACAAGAGCAACCCCTTACAAGGGACAGGGGGCAGGGCCTCTACTTGTGGGCCCCTGACCCACACACTGAGCGGGGGCTAGCACTCAGGTCCCAGTCACAGCTGTGCCACTGCTGTGTGCTGTGACCTCAGGAACCCCCCCAGCCTCACTGAATCCGTGTCCCAGGAGGATACAGACTCAACAGCCTGCTCTGTCTGGGAATCTTCACTGGAGCTCCCCCCCCCTCCCCCGCCACCATCACACTGTAGAAAGACATTTGGTCTTAATCATTCTCGTGTTTTTCCGATGATGGGGGGTGCGGGGAGTGGTGTCCCAGGTGGCAGCTGGGACTGAGCTGTCAGCCTAGGCAGGAGGCAAACAACCCATGACTCAGGCAGGGCACGTCACAGCTGGTGGAAGGAGGGGTGCTTGCCACCCTGTGGCTGGGGGTTGCTCCGGACACAGGGAACTCCAGCTCCTGGCTCTCGGCCAAACCCAGTGCCTCCAGCCCTCACCTGCAGCTTGGCCATGGCTTCAAGGGCCTCCCAGGCATTCTGTCCCACCTGCCCAGAGCAAACCAAAGACAGGGATGCAGAAACACCCAGCTGGAAGGTGAAGAGCCCCCCACCCTGCGCCCCCCCATAAGCCCTGAGGCACCTTCGAGCCCTTGGGGCTGAGTCCCATCACAAGTGACTGTAACTGCATTTCAAACCAGAAGGTTATACAAATTAGTTGTTTATTTTGCCTTTTAGTATGACAATTCCAAAATTTAACTTGAAGATAAGCACAGAAGCTGCTGTGACATAAAAGGAAAGAGTCACTTGGCAATGCCCCGAGTCCTCCACTGCTGGCATCCAGCCTCCTGCCTGCGAGGATGGCCCCAGGCATGCCCAGCTGCCCAGAACACAGGCAGAAAGGCAACACCGTGCAAAGTGAGGAGGAGGGATTTGTGCAGTAATACATTTAGTTTAAAAAAAAAAAAAAGGACTGGCTATTTGCCTAGAGTACTTCCTATATCAATATAATGTAGAAACCAGAATTGTTCCCAGCACTCAGCAGTCTTGGCTGCTGTCGGATAGCTGTCGGCATGACTGCAAGTAGCCCCGAGGCTACCTGGGGTAAGAAGTGGGCCCATGCATACATAAGGAGAAGTCAGTGATGGTCAAGGCTAGAGGTCAGAGATGGCACAGAGGTGCAGAGCGATTCCGGACGCTCAGGTTTACATAAATACGCACAAAGGAGTCGTGCACGCAGAAGAACTTGTTATATAAAATAGATGTACATAATCTAGAAAACCGTGATAAAAATAGCCTATAAAAATATAAACTGTAGTGAAAATATACAAAAGTATTAACAAATGTTCAACCCACACAAAACAACTCACCAACATGAAAGCTGGCAGTTCCCACCTGGTGTGATGAGCACGGCTCCCCTTGGCCATGGTGTGTGTGCCTGGGAAGCAGGCTGGAGGCTGCCCCACCCTAGGCTAGCACCTGTCAGAAGGGCCCTCCCCATGGGACCAGCAGGGGAGGCACTGGCGGGTACAGAGCAGCTCTTTCCTCAACAGCACAAGGAGAGGGGAAGCATTGGCTCAAAATAGTGGGACCAAACCCTACAATTCTGGAGGAAGGAATCAGCTCCATCCCGCCCCCAGTCTGGAATCGGGCCAAGCATTCCCTCTCCCTCCCTCTAGACACCTAGCGCTTTATTCCAGAGAGGAGAACCTCCTAGCAAGGGTTCCTGGTCCACTTCCTCCACGAGCTCTCTCTCTGCTCTCCCACGCCCACTGCCTGACCACCGATACTAACAGCCTGGAAATACTAACACGCCACCACCGCTCAGGGCACGGCTGACACCGGCCGCACACAGCTGGTCCCTGGGCCCAATTCAGGTGCTTTTAAGATGAGTCTTTTCAAGGCAGAACAGACAAAACAAGCATATTCCTAAAGGCAGCATTTTAGCCCACAGGACACAGCAGTTCCAGGGGGAAATCAGCTTGGAAACTGAAGTCTCAAGGAAGCTGGAGCTGACCTGTGGGGCCCCAACCCCATTCCTACTGCACCTCCTGGGCTGCTGGCCGCTAGGCTGACAGCAGGTGTGGGAGGTGGGGGCCGGGAGGCGGTCTCCAGCAGCCCCAGTGGTCCTGCGGGGGTCTGTGCAGAGTGGCCAGGCCGCAGCCCAACTCACAAGGCAACTTCCTGAAAACGGCAGGCCTCAAACAGCTGCTCCCAAAGACCAAAACGATGACGAAGTATGTTCCTGACACCTGAAAACAGACGAAGGCTTTTGGCTACATACAGAGGCCAGCTCCCTGTACACAGTAAGAGATCAAATTAACCAGCTTGACCAAAGAAAAGTTGAGCTTGGTCTAGTACGCTGAAATGCCATCCCAGCTATGATACTGCTAGAAGGTCGACAGAAAAAAAAAAAAAATGCTTATGAAAAAAGTGCTGCTTCAAACTACACTGCTTCAATAGTCTGTGTTTTGTATCAACTAAGGATTATTTCCAATTTTTTCCAGGTAGTGTAAAAAAAAATCCGTGTCAAATTTTCTTTCCTATTTGAGTAATACTGTCCAGGAAACACTGTCTCATATCTACACGTCAGGGATGGTCCACAGAGTGATTAAGCAAAAATAACCTTCCTTGCGCAAAGCCTCTTTCCAGGCCTTCAAAAAGGTAGTGCTCTAAGTCCCAGAATTACCTAGGCAGCCTCACATACTGGGAGCAATGGTGACCCCACAGGGGAGGCCAGCTGCTGAGAACAAGGATGCCCCCGAGTGGCAGTGGGGAGGGGACGCATCTGGGAGGGCTCGCCAAAGCTTTGACCTCAAGTGAAGGTTTCCCAGCCCAGGCCCTGGCAGCCGGCCTCCTGCCGTCCCAGCCAGACACCCTGGCTGTTCCCGAGGAAGCCACAGTTCCCAGCTGCCCAACAGCATTCACTCTGCAGCTGCACCGTTGCCCTGCAAAGCACCCCCGGAAAAGCTCCCTCCGTCCCCTCAACCCAGGGTGGGCCTGCTTTGTAGGATGACGATCCACAGTTTCCTTGGAATCCCATCCACACGGGTAGAACGAACCAAGGGTCAACTCTCAGGTGGAAAGAAGAGGTTCGCACAGAGCCTCGTGGAGCCATGCGGACAGTGAGCGTGTGGTGTCTGGAGAGCCAGCAGGTTGGGAGTTACTGTTTGAAAGGCTGTGCGTGGAAGGGCAAAAGCTATCCCAGAAACGGGGCACGGCCAGCACCCTGAAGCCACCAGCAGAAGGTCTGTGGGCTTTCTATAGGCCGTTTCTGAAAAGGATGTGCTTGCTTTCCTAAGGAAGTTCCTTTATTCACACCAACCTTATGCCACCCAAAGCTGTCAGACTCTGGCCCAGGAG